TCTCTTCTCTTCTCTTCTCTTCTTTTCCTTTCTTTTCTTTTTTCTTTTTCACATTTACTATATCTTTTTCTTTGAATATATTTCTTATTATATATGTAGAATCTTTTAATAAAGATTTTACATATATAATTAAAGATTATTAAATAAAAGATTTTTTTAATAAAAATTATTTTTAAAAAATAGATATCAATGAATATCTTGTTATGAAAGTGATTTTGGAAGACCAAAATGGACGTAAGTCAAGAACTTTGCATGTTATAGATAGTAGGTGTTGATAACTGATTATGCAGTCTTATGAAAAAACAAATTCCTTCATTCAGGGTTCAAAAGACTGCCTACTTTGGTCTTTTTCTAGACCCTTCCATCCTTGGGGTATCTGCAAGTAGGTTGCTGGGGGAAACAAGCTACAGCTAAGAAAGACACTGAACCCCTTAAGAGTGAGTAAAGTTGCAAAGAGTTTTGTAGTCCTTCAAAAAGCATATCATGGGAAAGCCATTTCATCAGATACACTAAGCCAAGAATGGGTGTCCTGAAGACTCAGATCTGCTTGCATATCCCTTTACCAAACCCCATATCCCTTTCTTGGCATCTGTAAAGCCAAAAGAATTCTCTGCAATTTGTACCATGGGTCATTTTGAGGTGGGAAACACATACAAATACAGATATCTAATTTATTTCCTTATAATTTATTAAACAAGACTTCACACACACCCCCAAAAAACAAGGAAAAATATTTTAAAATCTTGGCTCCATCCATTTCGCATTATTAACCCACCCATTGCTGCCCTTCCAAATATGCAGGCCTGCAGATCCCAGAGTTTGCAACCAACGTGGAAAAAAAGGTACAGCTAAAGATGGCCAGAAGTGGCTAGAACCCTCTATTCCTGCAGAGGGCACCCTGATACTTCAGATGAAACTGATCTGGATGGTGAACCAAAACTGGGCCTGAAAGGACACCAAAGTAAGAATCTGCTCCTTCAAAAGAACACAGACCCATCCCTATTTCTCTGACTGGTCCTTTGCTAACTTCAGCTCTTTTATTTAGATATCACTTCAGGTGGTGGGGGGGGAGTTGCTCATCTCCAGTTCATGGGACACCATCACATCTTTGGAATGGTATGAAAAGAGAAATAATGTAGGTTAACAGCCAAATACTAATGGTATTGCAATCAATCATAGCCCTTTACAACTTCACACAATAGTTTCCTGCAGGGGTTAAAACTATGGCAGACAAAACTGAAGCCAGAATTTTCATAAATAATGGAGCTGAGTAGAAAGATGCTAAGTAAAAGCAAATTTCTGATAGGCAAAGCCTAGCACGATCAACTTTTATCAACTTAAGTCCAGGTGTGCAGATAGATGGTGGGGGAAAGGCCTTATCACAAAGGATGCATGCCAAGTTGCTTGGTTATGTATTTATTATCCAGGGGGTGAACAAAAAGGACAAGAATATCCGGTTTGCATGAAGGATCCACAGGAGGTAATAGGAGCAGACATTAACAACTGGCTGACCGAGTTCCCTTGTAAAACAAAGGCATGATGCAAAGAGTTAGAGGTGGATCCTGAGAGAGAATGGACTGAGAATGGAGTTTCAGGAATGCAGCAATTTATACTACTCTCCCAGTTTTGTATTTTAAAATGGAAATTTCATGAGAAAGCGGTTCCTCCTCAATCCTCCATTCTGAGACCAGGAAAATAAGTACATTTTACAGGTTTGGGAAGGAGTGTACAAATCACAATTTACTGCTGAACAGTGGCTGAGTTCCACATAGCACTAAACCAGAGGTCCCAGGCTGGGTGCACCATACCCAGAAAGATTTGGGTGCAGCTTTCCAAGATTTCCATATTATGGAGGGAAGTTATTAATATATGACTGCAGGGGAACATATTAGCCATATTTAATTTTAATCACATGTTAATGAAACAAAATCAAGTTCAGTTTATGTCCTTCCCTTTGGCATGCCATTCAAAAGCAAAGTGCAGCTTTTGCCCAGGAAATAATTGTGTCTCTCTGCAAAACCTATCTTTTGTTTCAAGCATGATTTGTTTAATGAACCACTGTGTCAGGGTTCATACATCAAACTAAGCCAAAGCCAACAGCCTGCAGAAGGTATAGATCTATTTTCTGCATGCAGTGCACTATTCAGCTCATTACATCTCCCAAACCCATGGAGGATACACCCATTTCAGTAGAACTTACTGCAAAATTGACATGGCAGGATTATAACCATTAACTTCCAGTGAACAGCTGGAATAATAGTAAGCAAGGGAAAGAGATCAGCCCATAGGGAAAGTGGTCATCAGTAAGTAATAATGGCAGACAAAATACATTTGTCCAATCCAAATTCTCCATCTTTTTTTTTTTTTTTGTCAGCACAGTTTATATGGGTAATTAATTGTTCCGTGAATCCACTTAAATGTTTAAAAATTAAAATGAAAAACAGAATCAATATACACAATTTCATTTCTAGTCATGAGGTACATCTTCCACCAACTTTCCTTTCAGGTTCCAGGCCATACTTTCTTTGCAATTTCTTGTAACTAACAAAAAGGCTCAGTCAGGAAATTCCACAGAGGGGCATTTCTGGCTAAAACCATAACAGATACTGGACCCTGAGGAACAAACTCCAGCATCCCTAGGAGAAAAGTCTTTTTAGTAGGACCAACACAAATGGCACAAATGAATGTGCAGGCTTCCAAGCATTCCAGAATTCTTCATCAGGCAAGATGTTACATAAAGCAGAGGTGGGAAGAAAGTTCAGTCAAGGGTAGTACTGAGTCATTAAATCTGGGGTTCAAAGTCTTCTGGGAGGGAGGCTGTACACTGAATACATTTGTCAGCAGAAGACGTTCTTTGTGTCAGGTTATACTTAGCATTTGGGACAGAGAATAAAAGTAGAGCCTGCCTACCCCCTCAACACCTTCAGATCCAAAAGTATAAAGGCTGTACGTCCAGAGCCAACATACAGAATTCCATAAAGATCATTTTATTTCCAGCTCCAGACCAGAAAAGTGGGCCAAAACGGTACCAAATTAGTGGTACAGAGATTGTGTTTGCATGAATTATCCAATATAGATCTTAGTTAACGAGTCTTAACCCAGGTGCTGCATCTATGGTTAGAGCATCCAAGTTACAATGATCCAAAATGGCAGCTGTTTCAGGATAAGCAATACAGAATCCAGTGTAGAAATCCAATTCAGTGTTATGTTCATCTGGGAGCAACCACTTTTTTTTTTTTAATGCATGTGGAGTTTGCTGTGATCTGTAGTTGTGTTTTGTCCTAAGATGTGCTGGACTGACATCTTTAACTGAAACCTCATTAAAGAGCTGTACATGGTGGAGGTAAAATGGTGCTCTGGGCATGCTTATGGAATCAGTGTGGGGTATGGTTAAGGACTAGGACTGGGGGAGACTCTGGTTCAAGTCAACCAACTTGGTGATTTTGGATCAGTCATTATCTCTCAGCTTAACCTACAGGGTTGTGGTGCGAAAAATTAGAGGATTATATGCCTCTTTGAGCTCCTAAAGTAAAGGCAAGAGTTAAATTTAACAAATAGAAGGTATAAATATATATCTGAGCAAGTTGTGCAAACAACCTCAAAGCTCCAAGAGAATTAGCAGGGACTCACCACTCCCCTGTTGCTCTCCCAGTACTGCCATCCACCAGGGTAACAAAGGGCTCTTCCTCATAGTCCAGGTAAAGCGCTAACTATCAGCCCGTGTTGAGGAATTCAGCTCTGACCTTGAGAAAGGGACGTAAGAGCAAGAATGGTTACTCAGCCTAGGGAAAGGAGAAAGTATGAGAAAGAGGCTCAGAACAGACATACACACCGCTTGATCTTGTTGTCCTCAAAAGGAGGCAGTAAAGGTTTTGGACAGGCTTTCCAGATTCTGTAATATATTCTACTACAGTGAAGTACTGTAACATACCAGGAATCCCTGCAGTGTTTTTTTCTTGACCTGGCTTACCTTGAAGTTCTGACAATACTTGAGCCAACAGAAAAATATGCCAACATAAAACTTGCTGCCTCTACTAGCGATTCCTGTCCTGCTACAGGCAGGATACAAATGATACTGTTCTTATTTATGATGTAAAAGACAATATTAAGGGCAGGGGTTGTTGCTTTCCCTGGCTTTAATTATCTCCACCCCACCATACATCACCAGCCAGTGGGAAAACACCCACCAATCACTCTCAACCTCGGATGGGGACAGGGATGCGGATGGGTGAATTTCAATGGATGACTAAATCCAACTGGTCTGTTAAAACTTACACAATTATTCTGTGCAGATGCAAAGGAAGACCACCTTGGATACTGGTTTAGTGCTATTCTGAAACAGAGCTAAACCTACATGCAACAGAACATCAGCTGACAGAGTCAGGATTCCTTTGAATATAGATTAGTACTATTTCAGAAGAGCCTTAAACCATGTTTCTGTAATATAGGGCCAGCCACACAACAGCTGATAGGTGGAAGGGAAGTTGTGGAGAGAAAGACATTCTCTATATCTTGCTTCATTATGCACACACAAACGCAGATGCATCCCCAGCACTTCTGATCAGCTGCTCAACAGGCTGATTCCAGTCTCTGAGCTGGAGATTAATTTAAATACCAATTTGTATGGGGGACAGGTGGTTTGAAAGGAACAGACTCTTCTGCTCCCCAAAGCAAAATGGCCCTGGACAATAGTGCCCAGAAACTAGAGAAGACCATGCCCGCTCCATCCTGAAGAGGGCAACGGGTGCTGGACTAATCCCACCTGACTGTAGGTGAAGCATGTCAGGATACTTTGCCTGCAAAACTGCCACACCAGAATAGTTACAGACAACTTTACATTGCCTCAGGTATAAGCTGAGGATGAGATGAAGGCATATCATGAGGACACAGCAGTAAAAAGAGGTTGCTAAGACATATTCCTACTGTCATTAGTACAAGTGACGAAAGGCCCTAAGGCAGTATCCTTCCAATTCTAGATTTGCATTCAGCTTGCCTTTAGTATTATTGAAGACTGTGAAGTAATTCCAAAATTGTATCTCCTAGCCTTTCCTGTCCTACTCAGCTCTAGGTGTCTTCAGTTTCCACAGTTCCCAGCCAGCATGCCCAATTCCAGTCCTGTTTGGAAATTACAACAGTTGTAGTCCAATCCATCTGGAAGGGAAGTGTGGGGAAGGAGCCTATATATGTCCAACACTGATGTATTTACTGAGCAATTAAAATAAGTGTATGCCATATGAGATGGTGCCATCTGGTGGGAAATACCAAGAACTGAATTGTCAACATTTGAAAAAGAGGCTTTATCCCTTAAGAAAATTGGGGAAAAGCCGTGACAAATCACCTTGAAGCTACATTGCATGTGCAAAACAGATGGGCATGATGCCTGAAGAAGTAGGGTAGCGTGGCTTCCCATTCTTCTGGAAAGGCTCATCATGGGGGAAATAAAGCCTCCAGGACGTGATCTCCCTTATGCAAGCCACAGATTCTTGGTCACATGTCTAGCCCTTCCCTCAGATGGATTGCAGGAGCTTACCCCAAGTGCGCCTGGCTTGCGAAGCCTTTTGCATGGCCCTCTTGGTGGGTGAAAGCAAGATTACAACTGTGTCTTCCATCACTGTCATAACAGTGTGGCGCATCCATTAGGGAGACTAAAGACACACTGGCAACGCTGACAGCACATCTGCCAGTTGCACAGAAAAATGTAGTTGCTATGATGAATGCTTGGGCAGTTCTGCACAACATTTGTGAGACACAGAGCACTGCACCGAGCTGCAGTCTTCGAGGGTAAGATTATGTTATCATGCAGCATCAGCAAAGCGGCACAGACAGAAACTTGGTGGAGGGCAAGAAGCTTCAGGACGTAATTGCTGATTTCCTGTTTGGCAATCCCCGAAAATATTCTCTCCGTTCATGATAGATGAGAGGAGGCTCCTGCTGAAGAGGCAGCCCCCTTTCTGTCACAGGATAAAGGGACTCTGGGTCACAATAGGAAAGGGGAGTCCTAACTGAAAATTTGCAAAATCTCAGCATTTCTTGAGAAGTGGAAAGGCTCCTCGTCTACATGGGGAATATAAACCAGGGCGCGGGAGAAGATGTTTTTGTGGCTGTCTTGTTGCCTTTCCTGGGTCCCAAAATTAAATGAGGAGCTCAAATCTCCGATTCACATTGCAAAAAAGAAAAGACATCAACAAACATTTTTAGCCATTGCTGCAGAACAGGAATTGAGGGACTGCACAAACCTGCATAAAAAGCACTGTGTGTTTCTTCCATGAAGGAGGAGCATGGCTCATGGTTACAGGAAGCCATCAGGGCTGGTAAGGCAACACCCTGAGAGAGGCAAATTCTTCCACGCATTGCTGGCATGACCACACAAGGCCATCAGTCATCCTCTGCGCTATGTGGTCCCAGCTGTGATTGCATCATGGGCCTCCCTCGGAACGGAGTCCCACAGCTGCCACGCTCTCTGCATTCAGTGTCATATGAGGCTTGCCCTTGCCCTCGCAGAAGGTGGGCAGCACAGCATGTCATTAATCTTGAGCACTCCCGTTTAATCTTGGACAATGTGCATTAGAGCACAAACATAAAAATGGGTGGAGTTCAGTACTTATTTGCACTGAGCGGATCTGAGCATCTCTACTTATTCAGCAATGAGCGGAGAAGTAGTATCAAGCATTCTTCCTTCCACTTTGAGACCCACCAATATATGTTTGTGCCATTACTTTGACACGCACACTCCTCATACAGGTAAATGTTTGTACATGCATGTTCATTGGCATAGAGAAATGTACTGTATATGTAATGTTTGTGTCTTACCCCTATGGACATGTATACTGCATGTACACATATACATCTATCTGCACCACAACCACCTCAACCAAGGTCACCCTTCACGTCCCTGGTGGACTGTATTCCACGCTGCAGAAATTTTGCAAATAGTCTCTACAGCAATGTAAAACAGCCTCTCCTGCAGCAAGGTAGGGTGGTGCACATCATTTGGACACAATGCCCAATCCCAAAGATCACAAAAGAATTATACAGGTATTGCTCTGGATTGTTACTGAGACCAGCAAAAGAAATACAAATGGATAACTCTCCTGTGGGTTTTGGAAGGGCATCTGCAACTAATAATGAGGGAATGCAAATAGAGACCTCCATTTGCTGCCAGTAAGTGAGCTATAGACCGCTGATGCTTTACGGCTTTTTGAATTGTGTTGGAGTGGGTGGTTCCTTCCATCTGTGTAGCATTTTGCACACTGACTTTATTTGGTTTTTTTAAACAAAGTTTAGGGGTACGGCTGACTGGAATCTCTGGATGCTGCTCCCTCATGTGCCCTCCAAGTGCAAACTTGGTTGCCACAGGAGACCTGCACTGCTGTCAAGTAGTAGGGACCACCTGGGCTGTTGTTTCAGAAACAGGGAGGGCATGACGGACTTTTTCCAGAAGCTTCATAGAGTTCTTGGTTGTCTTACATATCTCAGAAATCTTCAGATGGCCTGGCACATCATTTCTCTACCCCTTGGTGAATGTGGCTGGTTCTTCTATGAGTGCTGCCTGATACTCTCAACCAATAGCTCAGTGTGGGATATTCTCCTTTTCTTTGTCTGCTCTAATACTAATGTGGATGCCAGAAGCAAAGTGGAAGGCATTGAAACAGCACATGCATGTGGATGGAAAAACTTGGAAGAAGAACATGAGTAAAGACACAACTGAAGATCCCACAAAGGCATGAAAAATGCTAGTTTTCAGCACCTGAAGATACAGATGCATCATAAGCCGATCCAAGTAGTACAGGATGTTGAAACCTTGTGAGCGTTATTCCACCAGTTCAGAAGACGGAAGTTAGACACTCAATACTTTCTGATGTGTTATATGCAGAATAGCAGACAGAGGACTGACTTTTTCCAGCAACAGCAATCCTTTGTGGTTACATGCATCCCATTTTGTTCTGTTATTACCACTTTGCCAGCATACCCTGGGTTAAATCTATCATTTTGTGTTTGTTTGTTTGTTTGTTTACATGTTCCAGTTCTGTGTGCATATATCACGTAACAGGCACAGACCTTGACTGGGAAGCTAAACCTTAAGCATACTATGAAACATGTGAAGACAGACTTGGGAAACAGGCCCAAACATGGTTGTGTATCCACTTGGCCTCCATGTCTTGGTCAAGGGCATGTTCTTTCTTACCTTGTTCCCTGCTCTCCACCTCTCTTTCTAGTTCATGTTCCACTTCTGGTTCCTTAACATCTGTCCCTATATAAGAAAAGATGGAGCAGCATCATAAGTATGGCTGGTATACTTAGAATGTTTTGCATCCCCCTCCCAGGACAAGACTGGTTTTGCACCATGGGGCAGGAACTTACTGTCATAATTGTTTGGTGGAACCTGCTGGGCATGATCAAAAACTTTTTCTTGGAATAGCACATCTGCATCCTCTTCCTCTTCCTCCTCCCCAAACTCAGGCACATCCTCTTGCATTTCCTCCAGATAGATCTTACCTTCCACATTCTGTAAAAGTTGGGGAAGAGAAAGATGTTGAATTATGTGCCATGTTTTCATACAATGTACATCAGGAGCCCCCACAAGCTCCCTTCCTTCCTGCAGCCATCAGCAGTGATGTCAAGGTAGTGTGCCCACCTTCAACCTGCCCATTGCTACACCAAGGCCCCCCAAACATATCTCATTTGTCAACATTGCACTCTACTTTCTGGGACCTCCTAACATTTTCTAGCTGAAGCTAGGTGCCTGTGTTTGTAAATATCATAGGCAAACTATTGTAGTAGTAGTAGCATAGTAATATAGCTGTGTATAGAAGCTCCTTTGACTTCCCATAGTTTCCTGCAGCTCTGGGATTTTACCAGGCCTCCTATAAAATTTCTTAATCTGATTCTAGCTGCTTCACTTTTGGGTGGGTGGGGGGATTAGCCAAGGATGGTATGGATGTTCTACTTGCTTTTCCCAAGGCAGGCTTCCATTAAAATGTAGGAAAAGCTTCAGAAAGCCCACCCTTAGGGTAGAACTTTCCTTGGAACAAGTAACTGATGACCATGAGACAGATGATGTCCACTACGCCTTCTGAAGGTACCCATGAAAGAGGAATGAAAAGGAGGGTTTGATTGGTGAAAAGTAGGCATGATACTGACATTAGGCAAACAGACATCAGCCTAAAGCTCCCAACTGCCCAATCTCCAATAGGCATCCATGTATTCCAAGCAAATGGCACCAGCAACCTTGAATCACACAGTGCCAATCTATGTGACAGAATCACAAAGGTTATCACAATCTCATAGCCCTTGTTTAGCTGCAGGTGGCAGTTCAAGGTAGTCTCCACAGTTAATTGCTTGTAGATCATCTAACCCCATCCCATGTGCCAAAATAACCTTGAACGAGGAGCACCAGAGATCATCTGGCTGTGAGCTGTTGCCATCCCTTCCACCAGTTGGACCAAGGGGTTGCTGCATGGCAGGTGTCTAGGTGCCACACTCACATTCCAAATAAGGCAGTGCAATTGTGTTTAATATGGGCACACCACTGGGGAATTTCCATGTTTTAAGTTGTAAACCACAATATGGTTATATTCCAGACACAGGGCCTTTGTTTTAGTCCAGCGCTCCATTGCTGTGTGATGGTATCCATGCTCTTCTGGTTTTTCTGCAATTTTCTCAAAAATGTCTAAATTCCAGTGGCTGAAAGGCAGCTCCCTCTGTATCCCTCTCCCCCAGATTTCCAGAAAAGCAATTGTTTCAGCCCTTTTCCAGTCCTTTCCCGTTGGCATTTTGTTGGCTGCTTTCCTTCTTGGTCATGTTTAGGAAGAAGATTATCTTTGCGAAGGAAGGAAAGAGCACTGACGGCACAAAAAACAGCGAGCACATGAGTGACCAAGGCAGTGAGTGATCACAGAATCTACTTCTGACTTTGTGTCTAGCAGCCAGAAGTAGTTGGTGGGCAACCATGGAAAACACAAGACCCTGAGCAGACGTTTGGCCTGTGAGTGATAACAGCAATCACCACAATGCCTGATGACAAAGCCAGACTGGGGGAAGCAAAATTGTGTTGCCCTATCACTACCAAGGATGGCATGAGAAACTATGTTGTGTTGTGCAAAAAGCCATGGAAACCAGAGCTGCATAAGACTAATCCCAGGAGTACTGACCATTCAAGAGTGACCGTTGTAGCACTCTTATGAGAGTCCACAAAAGTAGTAAAACCAAGAAACCTCTTGGCCACACAAAACCTCTTGTCAGCAGAAACAGTGGAAAACCTGTAATGCACCCACTAGGGACAGAGCTAGCAAGAGACACCTGGCTAAATGTCCCAGTTTAAATCAGCCTTCTGTGTCACATATGACTAGCTGTCAAATACTGACACTAGGATTCAAGAGTATGAAACCCATGATTAAAAAATAAGTCTTGCATTTTTCAAAAGAGCTGTAGACTTATGTATGTTTATAAGCAGCCCGTGGAAGACCTAGGAAGCATGGTACAAAGTGCCAGTCAGGAATTGCATAGGAAATGCCTCTGCAGAAATCAGGTGTCCAGTCTCTCCAGTAGCCCAAGCCAAAATGGCCACAAAGGGCAGTACTCTTCAACCAAAGGGAGGGGATGTGCTTCCAAAGCCTAAAGTAACCAATGGAAGCCGGACAGATTCCATCCTCTGAGCAAGTCAGTCAATCCAGGGTCAATGTGATACACAAAATTCTGCTTATGGCAAAAACTGTGCTAGAAAAACAGGGGAAATGCTAATTTAAAACTAGAATAGCTAAGGATGACTTTAGGCTCCCTCATTTACCAGAGCATGTGAGGACCAATTCTGCTTGTTCCTAAACCCCTTGTCATGCAGGCGGCAGCCACTGTAACTGGAGGGAAACCGGTATTAGTCCACCAGCTGCCTTCACTCAGAACACAATGGAAGATTCAACATCATAGGTAGGGTACTTTGCAAATAGACCCTATTAACTGATGTAGGACTTTACAGGTATGTATGTACAAAGAGTAATTTCTCTAACAGTTTTACATTGAGCACAGTTCTGGCTTTTGAAAAATGGTGTGTGGTTATCTCAAAGCCAAGGCAAGATCAACTATTGTTTACAGGTTCAAGATGCCCACCTTCTGTATCAGCAATAAAAACTAGGAAGACTAGTTGCAAACACTTGCTGTATTAATGGATTGTTTATTGGAAATGAAATCTTTTTAGTGGGAAGTGGCAATGAAGAAGAGAAGTAGCACTCACTGGGGAAATACCATTCAGTGGGGAAATGGCTTGTAAAACAGTAAATAGTGAATAGCAAAGAAAACAAGAAAAGCATTTAGAGAATGCAACCTGGAAGTTACAATCAATGGGAAATGGCAATACAGGCAAAGAGGTGATCATTAGGAAAAGGCCACTCAATAGGGAAACAGCAGTTGAGGGACCAGCAGTGAAAACTTCACAAAGCACTCAATGGGGAAGTAACAGTCAATGGGAAGTGGCAAGGAAGAAGGAAGGAAGTAGCAGTCATCGGGGAAGCAGCTTAAAAAAAAAAAAAAGTGTCAAGGGATCAGCAATAAAAACAAGAAAAACATCCAAAGCACTCAGGGGGGGAGTAAACACCAACACAAGGGAGGAAGGAGCAAATACTGGGGACATACCACTCAATGGGGAATCAGCAGCATTTCTAAAGCAGATACTATACAGCACTGAGGGACTAGCAATCAAATATGAAGAATGTTCAGAAAGCACAATGGGAAAAGAAACAGTCAGTAGAAAATGACAAGGAAGGAGATTAAGGACCTTTGGGGAAATAACCCTTGCTAGGGAAACAGCCATTTAAAAAAAACAGCGTTGAGGGAATAGCAGTGAAAATATGAAAAATGTTCACAAAGCAATCACTGGGGATGTTGCAGTCAGTGGCAACTGGCAATGCAGAGGGGTGGGAACCATTGGGAAAATACCACTCAATGGGGAAATACCCTTTAAAAGAATATAATCCTTTTGAGAGAATGTAATGAAAACAAGAATAGCATTTACAAAGTACTCTGTGGGGGATGTAACAGTCAATGGGAAATGGCAAGGAAGGAGAGATATAGCATTCACTGGGAAAAGAGCATTTAAGCAACACTGAGGGAACCACCCCTGTGGATTAGTGCAGCATTTAGAGAAGAAGGCAGCTCTGTAGGAGCCCTTCTCTTTGCTTGAGAGAGAGAGAGAGAGAGAGTGAGTGAACACTTTGAATGGCAGTGCGGGGGGGGGGGGGGGGTGGAGGAATATCAGCACAGGCAGATTTAGCTTCAGGAGCCAGGAATTCACAAGGAAAGGAAAGAAAAA